CATTTTTCCCTCCTCATCTTTTCTGACTTTTTTCACTAGTTTTGCATTTGGCTACAGTCAGTGTCACTACTGGTAGCATGAGGTGATACCTGCACCCTACAGAGGTTGCACAGTACAGTCCAACTCCTCCAGGATGGCGCATCAATACATGCCAATTGCCAGAAGGTTTGCTGTGTCTCCCAGAACAGTCTCAAGGGCATGGAGGTGACTCCAGGAGACAGGCAATTACTCTAGGAGAGCTGGACAGGGTCATAGAAGGTCCTTAACCCATCAGCAGGACCAGTATCTGCTCCTTTGTACAAGGAGGAACAGGAGGAGCACTGCCAGAGCCCTACAAAATGACCTCCAGCAGGCCACTGGTGCGAATGTCTCTGACCAAACAATCAGAAACAGACTTCATGAGGGTGGCTTGAGGGTCTGACATCCTCTAGTGAACCCTGTGCTCACTGCCCGGCACTGTGGACCTCGATTGGCATTTGCAGTAGAATACCAGAATTGGCAGATCCGCCACTGGCAACCTGTGCTTTTCACAGATGAGAGCAGGTTCACACTGAGAACATGTGACAGATGTGAAAGGGTCTGAAAAGTCGTGGAGAACGTTATGCTGCATGTAACATTGTTCAACATGACCGGTTTGGTGGTGGGTCAGTGATGGTCAGGGGAGGCATATCCATGGAGGGACACACAGACCTCTACTGTGTACGATTTTGAGTTGCTGCAATGAAATTTCGGCAAAATGGACTAGCCTGCCGCATCATTTTTTCACTTTGATTTTCGGGGTGTCTTTGAATTCAGCCCTTTGTAGGTTGATAATTTTCATTTCCATCAAACAATGTAGTATCCTTTCATTCCTAACACATTACCTAGTCCATATCAGTATAGATATCCAGCAGCATATCAGTATAGATTTTCCCATTGAGATCTGATGTGTTTTCAAAGTGTTCCTTTAATTTTTTGGAGCAGTGTATATATTAGATTAGATTAGATTCAACTTTATTGTCATTACACATGTACAAGTACAAGGCAACGAAATGCAGTTTAGGTCTAACCAGGAGTGCAATAAGCAGTAAGTGCAGGATAAGGTATAAGTTATAAGTGCACTTAAATGGGATATGTGCAGGGAGAAAGTAAGGGTAATATTTACAGATGGATATACTGTGAGCATAATGTACAGATTGCTAGTGACTATAATCAGAAATTTAATAATAGATGAACAATATATACAGGTTGCTATTAACTGTGATCAGGAATTGCCGATAGATATGAACATAATGTACAGATTGCTATTTCTAGATACAAATTGTTATTTCTAGAAACAGGAATTTACAAATAGACATTTACAGATATATATAATCAGAAAATTACAACTGTATTGTGCAATGGATATTGCTTTCCAAATATGTATGTACAGTGTAGTGCATTAAAAATTAAATAGTGCAATGATAATGGACAGGTGTCAGTGGGGGGCAGAGTTCAATAAGGAGACCGCTCTGGGAAAGAAGCTGTTCTCTAGTCTGCTGGTTCTTGACCTGGGACACCTGAAGTGCCCACCGGAAGGCAGGAGAGAAAACAGTTTGTGGGCGGGATGAGAGTAATCCTTAAGAATACTGCATGCTCGACGCATACAGTGTTTCTTCTGGATGTCCTCAATGGCTGGAAGTGGAGTCCCTATAATGCGCTGGGCAGTTTTCATCACCCGCTGCAGTGCCTTATGCTCAGCAACAGAGCAGTTTCCGTACCAAACTGTTACACAGTTGGTTAGGATACTTTCTATTGTACAGTACAGCGATAGAAGTTCACCAGGGTGGCTGAGGACAGCTGGTTCTTCTTAAGTGTTCTCAAGAAGAAGAGGCGCTGGTGAGCCTTCTTGACCAGGCTAGAGGTGTTGGTGGTTCAGGATAGGTCCTCCGAAATGTGGGTCCCCAGGAACTTGAAGGATGAGACAGGCTCAACAGCCATCCTGTTGATGTAA